TTGTACTTACGATCGATAGAGTCATGGTGAATGGAACGCAATCATGTTACATTTCAAGATTTGTATATAAATGAAAAGTAACGTTTTGACTAGTAAAATGTGCATTTTAACTTATTCTTGACGTTGAAAAGCAGTAAAGTTTAAAATCCTACTCTTACTCTAGTTATCATTAATCGTTGTTATCATCGTCATGATTAGTATACCCTATGCGACGTATATCTACTTAAGTAAATTACACTGATCAAAAATAATACGCTGGAATTGATTATTTTTAATGAAATATCTGATAATTTCTTGTCATACATATGATGATTTCGATTGCTTTCATCAACAATAAAAACAAACTGTTTTCCAAATACAGTAACAATAGAAAAGAATGCAAAAGATACATTAAAATATTGGGTTGTAACATAAGTTCTACAGGTTTTTTTGTCAACCAACAAAATTTCACTGTCTTTTTTGGAATCATAACCGGTTAGTTTCTGCAAATGTCTGATTGAACAATTACTAGCAAGATGGACCCAAGTTTCAAAAACAATGACGATTGTATTGTTGATTGATGTTGCATATCTTTGTCGTAAAATAAATTTATTCATTAACAACAAAACCTGCAGAACTTATTATGTTACAACCCAATATTTCATCATATCTTCGATAATCTCGATATACAAACAATTTTGTTATCAATTCAATACATATGTCAAAAATTTAAATCACTAACAGATACATACGACCGATACAATTTAAATTTCAATTCAATATAAAAAAACATAATTTGATTCGTATTTGTCATTTAATACAACCAAAAAGTGTAATTTCACTTATACTGACTAATAACAATGAACAATCTGGTCAAGTTGAATTATTTCTATCACTTTTACACAATCAACACCTAACACAAATTCGTTCCTTAATATATCTTGATGTTAATGAAACATCTCTTAATTTCATTCTTGATATTATCAAAATCAATCGACTTCATACTTTTACAATAAAAATTTAAACATATGACAATAGACGATTGAAAACAACAAATAAAATTTTAACAGAAATTTTTTCACAAACAAATCTATAAAAACTTGATTCGAGTATTAAAAATTTATACGAATGAATACTATTGTTTGGTCAATCAATTGTTCAATAAAACAATTGATAATAAATGAACCGATAAATTTTAATTATATTTGTCAAATATTTAAATGTAGTTCTCACAATTAAAAATGTTCATTATAAAATGTTGTCTAAACTCTATTCTCAATAGACAAATATTAACGACAATTATTTCATCATTATCTCAATAACTAATATCACTTACGATTGAACAATGTGATATTGATATTGATATGTTAGACTTATTTCTTAAGCTCACATCATCACTCAATCATTTAAAATTAATCTATGAAAATGATATTCATAATTTAGTAGATGGATATCGTTGGGAACAATTTATCATAACTAAATAAATTCGAATTTTTCTTTGTCTATCTTTTTTCAAATCAACAAACTTCTGGTGATATGAAACATATCATAACACATTATTGTTCATCATTCTGGTTAGAAAAAAAACAATGACTTGTTTATTTAGAACAAATACTTGATGATCCGAATAAAATTCATTTATATTCAATACCGATTTGTAAATTAAATTTTGAATATGAAATGAATCGAAAGAAAATTTTATTACTCAATTCAATCGAAACCGATAGAAACAATTTGTCAATCATGGATAATGTTGATACACTATGATTGAAATTAAATAAAGAATTGACTCTCAAGAAGATGTATGTGTAATTACAAATACTAAGAAGATTTTAAAATATGAAATTTTGGATAGAAAGTTTTCGAAAAGATATCATATCGATACTGTTTGCATTGTATTATTAATGGTTCTACAAGATATGAAAATTAATTCTTTTCCTTTGATTATGGTTTTTCTCCATCAAACTATTGACATTTGTGACAAATATAACTAATATAATCAATAACAGATAACGTTTTTATGAAACTGATTACATAATAGTAGCCATAGTTTCAATCTTAAACATTTTAGATCAGTGTAAAAACAGAGAGTTTGCACAAAAGTAATGATTATTTTTATCACATAAAAATTTCGACAGTAATCTAATGTGCAGAAATTCTTTGAGTTTAGACTTCTTAGTCAGTTATTAACATGAAAATTTCTCATAGTCAATCAAATTATTGAGAACAATTTATATGGATAGAGAAAAATGTAGTTACATTTTTCGATATTACCAAATTCTTCGTTTTCATGTTGTCAGATAAGTTGAGACATTTTAACAGACTATAGAGATTAACAAATGTTTCAGTTTTAATTCCACCACAAATCAAGACAAATTGAAGTATAATATGCTGTACGTATAGATATCAAAACCTGTTTGAATTATTTTAAGTTTTCAAATCTATTGTAAAACATTTGCGAACATTATTCTAGAAAACTCTATAATAGTTGTCATATTTCGAAAAAGAGACGAATGGGAGATAAAATTCATCTTTATAAGGGAAAACTCAATGAAGAATAACCTAATAGGTATATTATTAATTTCCTACATATATAGTTCCATGCAATGTCCAACTTGTATTTGATGATTAGACGTCGAGAAAAATCCTTACGCTGGGATATTCGATAAATTTTTCCGAATTGATAATGTATCAATTATTCTAATCTATTCAATAGGAATAAGTCTTAAGTTAATAATTGATTCATCATTAGAAAAAGAAGTTTTCTTTATATCAATATTTATTTTTAATTAACAACACAGAGCAAACCATTATTTCATAAAACGACTAAATTGCGCATTTATCTTGCAAATGACTATGTTGTAATCGAACCCTACAATATATCAACTTTGATCGAGTTTTCAAAAATTATTGAAATCAAATTGAAAAGTAATTCATTGCATCGTCATGATAAAACCATATGGATGAATATCTCACTATTAACATCACTTGCTTGTAATCTGTCATCGTTGATTATTTTCAGTTCTCTGCATTCTTACAGAAATACTCTTGATACAGAATATTTACTATTAATCATGACACCAGGAATTAAAAATTTACAAATACCTATCAATGATTTAAATCAGATTCAAATCGTTGTTCAGCAATATTCAAACTTATCACAAATAAAATGCGAAACTTACAGTACACGATTAAATAACCAATTAATAGCTTGACTAAATGATTGTACAAGTGATTCTACATATAAAATTTACCGTGGCATGATTACTATTTGGCTTGGAACGAAAGAAAATAGTTATTTGTCTAAACTCCGAAGTAGACATAAACAAATAAAACTGAGCGAAAATATAAATTAACTATAAAGTTTGTTTTTTGTTGCTTCGTTGGTACGACTTTGTCTTCTTAATAAAACAAAAAAAGTATTCTAATTGATATTTTAATAAATATTTGATTAAGAAGTTTGTTGTTCATGAGTTTCGTCATAACGCTGTCTAAACGAAATATGATCATTAAAACAACGTTATTACGAAATTTGCAATAAGTTAAAACATGTAATGTGATCTTCAACTGGTTAAAACATATAGTGTTTTTGAACCTTAGGCGTTCATGGAACTCACGAGTTTTATGCAGTATATCTGAACTTATTTTTGAACAGATGGGAGACTATTTACAAATGTTAAAACAGAAAAGAATATTGTAAAGATACTTTTATATATTTATTTTTTCAAACACAGTGGATTTTATATAGCAGTTTTCATTTATTCTTCTGATGATAATCCAATTATACAATAGATTTATAATCTGTTTATTGTAATACGTTTATCGATATGTATTGTCAATGTGAAGATTTTAAAGTCAACAATATAAACTTAAAATAATCCTGCTTTAAGGGTGTGACTGAGTGCTGATACGAGTGATTGTTAGAAGCAAAAACTCTTTTGATATAGACCAGTGGAATTGCTAAATTATGTATGGTCAAATATTCAATGAACACTTCATATCACTGTTAGTTTTGAGAAGCTCTTATTATTGAAAATAATGTCAAAATGATTAATATTTCACTATCTGATGTATATTCTAAAGGCATATAATTCTCAATCAAATATTGTAAGAAATAATCAAAATGCTCAAAATTTTCCTATACTACATTATACATTTTCCTTTTTTCAATATGAACTAGTCTAAACAAATTGTCTGGAAAATCAGGTCAAAGCATAAGGAACTGTTTGAAGCATTTGAACTAGTCTGAATCAGCGTTCTCACTACTCTCTCAAAAATGAACTAGCCATGAAACAATACAAATGATGGCTCACATTAGTTTGTATCACTATTGAACGTAGTTCAGACTAGTCAGATATACAATATTGTCAGATTGAACGGTCGAATCCACCTATCATCACCTATTCTTCTAGTCTCTTTGTTTTACTGACGACTCTGAACAGTAAGAATGTTACTTTTTTGCTTGCCTGGTTGCCACACTTCTGTTTTTTACATTGTCATACTTATTCATCTTTCTCGCTTGTTGTATCTATCTTATAGACGTGTGTGTGAATGTGAATACAGAAGATTGATTTAGTTACTTTTCAATATAGAACGGAGGTCGAAGTCGAACCTTATCAAAGATTACAGATCGAACGCAATAAATAAAAGTATTTATCAAAGAACCTCAAGGGCATGATACGTTCTCCTACACTATTTTGTCTGCTATGGGTAGTGGGAGAGTCCACCATATGACAATATTTGATGTTTTTTTCATGACTCTTACATATATATATGTGTATGTGTGCTGTAAAAGTATAGGTATTGAATAGAACCTTTTCTGGTTCTAATCACTGATAGAAAATCAGCACCTTTATTGGTTTGATACCGAACTTTTTATGATTGTGTAAAACGTTCTGCAAAGAACCGAAAGAAGACACTATTTTTCTATCAGAACCTTAAACTTTTAAAGTTTTGAAGAATATCTGTATATACATGTATGCAAATCAATAAGTTTCTTTTTTTCTAGGTGCATCAACAACATGTTGTTATTTTGTTTTTTTCTTATCTGCCTCAGTCAATCCCTGTTCGCTGTTGAATTGTCTATCTACAAGAGTTTTACTGAAGTTCGTCAAGTTCAGAATGGAATCGGTGATATCAAGTATGATTTTACCAATGCTGATTATGGAAATGTAATTGATGAATCAATCAGCTGGGAAGGTACACCACTAGTTCGACAAGAAGTCTACAATACAATTCAATCACTCAAAGATGCCGAAGTAACTGTACGACGATCCACAAAATGTGACTGTGAAACAATTCAAGCGAAAATTGTTGATCCTAATTCGATGTTACTCCAAAATTTGAAAACAGGAGCCTATTTTTATGCCGACAAAGAATCGATCGAATATTCATCAATACGACCAACTGATAGTAAAACAACATTGTCGCTTAAATTTCAAAATCCATTAGCAGCACACAGTGGAACATTGTCCTATTTAATGAAAGGAATCACATGGACACCTAGTTATGACCTACTTGTGACAGGCAACAATGGTAAGTAGATCCTTTGTTTTTTTTTTCAATTCAAGTTTTCATCTATTGAGTACGTCATGTTATTGTAGATTACAAACTTCGTGCCTATGCTAATATTAGAAATAATCAACAACAAGAATATACAGTGGAAATGACTCGTCTCTTAGGAGGTGATGTGCAATTAGCTACTGGTTATGCAGTGCCTGATCGTGAATTGGAAGCCGTAGTAAACCCTTCCATGTTAGCATCAATTCACGTCGGTGGTGAACAAAGAGGTCTGTATTCATACATATTGAAAGACAAATATACACTTCGTCCATCGAGTTCCATTCGTTTACCATTCATTGATATTCTTGCCAAATATCGATTCTATTACAAAGCATTGACAAGCATCAATACAGGAATGTATGAAGGTACCTTTGGAAGAAATTATGATATAAAACCTGATCATTTCATGCCTGCCGGTATTATTACTGTTCGTGACAACCAAGTACTTGTTGGTCAAGCGGTTTTGCCAGATGTTCCAGAAAATTATACACAAACATTCAGTGTTGGTCAAGATAACGATGTTCGCTATTCGATAAAAAGCAATATGACATCAAAAAGTGAAGACAGGGCACCCGTATCATGGGAGACTTATCAAATTGACGTTCAAGTGAAAAATTTTAAGAACAAACATGTCGATGCTCAACTTGTATTACAAGGAGGTGTTCAAATAACTCTTCTTGATACAACATGTAGGTCTGTCAATGTTCAAGGAAATCAACTCTACTTTCCAGTTCAACTTGAACAAGGTGAGAATCAGCAATGCAAGCTCAACGTTACAGTAAGATTAAATTAATAGATCAATGAACACGCTCAAAAAAATTAGAACATTTGAGAAAATGCAGTCGTAATTTATTTGATTAAAGAATTAATTGAACGAAATAAAACTATGCATGAAAGACTGTGATCAACCAGTCATTTACTAAATTTTTTTCAGTTGTCACTAACTATACTAGAACAGAAAAATGATAAGTAATTGTATTTTGAAAAATTCTTCTTTTGTTTCATTGATTATTCTTCAAATTGAAGATAGTCAAAACAAAGTCACAGATGTTTAAAATCTAGCTGTAGATGGGTGAACCGTGAATCTTCTCTTTAATCACACTCACCTTTGGTGTATTTCAAATTCATTGATTAAAATATACATTTTCATTAATTTCATAACACGATTTCTTTGTCCGTTTCATCATTAGAACTCACATTTTTTTCGTACCTTTGATATAAAACTCATCAAAGTGATGAAGCTGTGTTTCGACTCCATAGAGCAGTTGGTTATGAGTGTTCTATATCGACTCATCCATATCTACACCCTTATTGAGCAATATCGATAAGCTCGATCAAAATTGGTCAAATATGTAGGTAAAAAAAGTAATAAATTGTGTTTCAATAATAATGTAATAGGTCTAGTAAGTCATACAGTTTGGTGTCATTGTGAAGATCTACCTATCCTCTAGCTATGTTGAGAAAAATCAGAAACAGGTATATTGTTGTTCTCCAAATATTGTTCAAACAATGCTCGAAACCAGTCAGATTTTCATAGCTTTATGTCAAGATCTGGTCACTGTTTCGATTATCGCCAAATTGGCTAGCTTGATAATCTCAATGTTTAATATCAGTTAGAAGGCTCTGTGTTCTCTAGCTATGCTGAAGAAGTTTCAAATTCTCAGTCGGCATAGAACACGTTTCGATGATATATTACTGAAAGGCATCCAAGATAGTACCATAATATTTGCCATGTTGAGATCTATTGTTCTCTATCTGTTCTTGAACGACACGTTGAAAAAAGTAAGTGAACTGATTTGTAATCTTATGCGATGCCGTCTTTTATGCAAGTTACTCATTTTCTTTTTATAGTCTTTCTAATGATTTAATTATTATTAACTCTATTCGACATCAAAAATTTCGAATAAGTTAATATCAGACATGTCCGGATTAGAAGAACATTTCGGAACCCTTATTTGATTACATTGTCGTTGATTCCTCTCCTTCTTCCTCTTCCAACGTACAGTATATGCTAAAGCTCGTTGTCTTAAATATAAATTTTCACTTTGTCTTATTTGTCGAAGAAGATTTTGACATTGTTCACGATCAACACCTGATTGATTAAACACATGATTTTTAAGTAAATCGAAAACAAATAAGCCTTGATCTTTTTCTTTGATAAACCATCGAGCTAAATCAAATTTTTCATTAACATTTAATTGTTGTATAAAAGAACAAGAATATTTATTGGAGATGACTGTTGCTAAACGTATTAAAACGTTTTCAAAATAATTTTCAGATAAAGTTTCTTGAAGTAATATTAACATTGATTCAATATCATCTCTATTTTGAGCTATTTTGATTAGTAATGTGCCAATAATAAGTGCGAATGTTTTATCAAATTGAAGTATAATGAGTGCAAGAGAACGAAAAGAGTTTTTATTCTCATTATCAAATTGGTTTATATGATTAATAAGAATTGTTAAAATACGATGAATACGATGATAAATTGGTAAATCATGTTGATTATCAATAGCATTTTCTTTTGAATCAATTTCTTCTCGACGAGACATCAGGTTTTTAATAATATCAACAATTGCACTTGATGATGATCTATTCAAAAGTTATAATTTTGTTTGTTTTACTAATATGAATTTTATTTCAACTTACATTTTTTGCTGTTTATAACATGAAATTATTTGATTAAAAGCTATTTCCCATAAGATATTTGCATTTTTATCAAATTGAATACATAATTGTTTACTTTTTTCAATTAATTTTTGTGTATCACAATGCATATAATCAATATTTGACCAAGCCCATAATCGTGCTTCTAATGATGTTGGATGGTTCAATATTCTGAATTGAATTCGATTAATAAATGTTTGAAAAATGTTTTCAGAAGAATTTATTAATCGAGATAATGGCCAACGAGAGCTTCCTCGTTGAGCTGAAAATAAGGATTGAACAACTGGAAGATAATTATCATCTGCTGCTTCTTCCAAAATTTTCCAAACTATTGTTTTCTCATCATTTGAATGTAATTTATCAATAAAATTAAGTAGTGTTAAAATAAGACAAGCACGAACATCTTGATGAGGTCGACTATCCCATAAAGGTTTTATAACAGACATGATCAAACTTGAATCAGATGCATATTCGTTTAATAAACGAAGAATTTCTTTATTTGCTGTTATACCTATTAAATACATATATATGAAGAAAACTTGTTCGCATAACTTCTTCGGAATAAAAATGTGGCATACTACAAATATTTTTTATATTATGAACTAGAGATTTAATTACATGTTGTTCCATCTGTGAGCTATGGCATAAGCGTGGGATTAGCCTTTTATGGTGTAAGTTTTGAGTAGAAAATGAAAATTTTGGTCGGACCAAAAAAAAAAAAACTTTAATTCAGTTCCAACTTCAACAACATTTTCACTATCAGAGTGCTCAAAATAATTCTCTCTCACATGCATTACACTGGTGTGAATGATGTTTAAAAACTTTTTAACAATATTTAAAATGAGATGTTTCCTTATTCTAAGAGTTGAGTCATTTTTGTGTCAGCGGATATGAGACATTGAAATAGAATGAATCAAAATTTCTTTCTCTGTGCTTCAATATTGATTTGCAAAAAAGAGAGCAAGATTAAATTTCTAGAATTATTTGATTTACCAAGTTTTTGAAATTCTTCATTACCAATCAATTCAAGATAATGTTTTAAAAATATTTCTTCAGGTAGTCTACGTGAAATAGTTAACATAGCATCACTAATATATTTAGCATTTGATGCGTTTAATTTTATTTTTAAGAAATGAAATTGTTTAAGTAAATCATGAGTATTTAAATCAAAAGTAATTGGTAAACATATAATTATATGATCAAGTGGATCAATATCAGTACTATTGATACACTTTAATGATAAGGAAGATATTTGTTTTTCATCAAACCATTGAAGAGATTTATTATATGTATATGTAAAATGACGAAGAACATGTAATGCTTTTAATCTCTTTAGATTAGTTACTTCTTTATTCTAGAAAAGAAAATAATATCCAATGACTATTTCTTTATATTAAAATATATAAACCTGAAGAAAATCATGTAAAATAATTTTTGTAATATGTTCTTGTTGTTTTCCAGTCAAGTAATGAAAAGAACAATTTAAAATATTAATATTTAATCCTGGTAATATAATATTCTTTGTTTGAGATTGCAAATTTATTGCAAATTTAGTTTCTTCATTTGATAGTTTTTCTAATGTAACACATTTATTATCTTCAATTAATTCATCTATTAATTGTCGATGTTGTTGAGAACGTAAAGCAATATATTGAACAATTTCATTAATAAAAAAAATCTTATCTATTTTAGTAATCAATTGATTAATACGTTCAAATTGTGTTGAACGTTTTTTTAAAAATAATGAAATAATTGAACTGTGTGTATCAATTTGAAATACTGTTTGAAGTGTTATTGATGAAGGAAGATAATCAATAAAGAATGAATTAATAAATGAATCGATTTGTGGTAAACGCCATGATTTTGGCAAATAAGAACGTATTGAATCATTTAATTCATCTAACATATATTTCGAAAGCAATTTCGGAAACACATCAGCAATGAGAATATCTGCTATAAGGTTACGTGCTATGGGATATGATTCAGATAATGAATGAATCTGAAGTTTAAGACCATTCTTCATTGAGAAGCATCTAAAGAGTAGAAAATTATCATATATAAAACATGACTTGGAATAGTGACACAGTACAATCTTATGTAGGTTCTCATTATGATCAAAGCCATAGAAAAGAAACGGCATTTCTGATGCTGAAACGAACAAAATCTTTCATGGTTTGATAGTCAAGCGTGACTTTCAAAATTTAAATTCATGAAAGTTCTTAATATCAGATGAAATTATTAAAAGTCTATAGTTTCATCTATAGTAGACTTCTGCACGGGTTTGACTTTTCGAAACAGCACCAAATCCGAAATATTTTTTCGTCTGTTTATGCTAGATTAACTATTTTATTTCCAATATAGTGATTCGATATAAATGAAAATTTATCTCAAGTTTTATAGTTATTTTGAAGTACACATGCACAATAATATGCATAGATTTTCATGAATTTATTCGTATTGTAGAAGGAAATGATACATTGAAAAAATACACGGAAAGCGATGGATTACGTTAGGAAAATGAATCCGAATCTTTTCAAAGTTTAACATGCGCTCATTCACGGGTTCGTTCAGATTACAGGACTCTAACATATGGTCATGTAAACTGGTCACTACATAGAATAGTGAAATTCATAATTTCCTTAAAGGCAGGACAAGTTATTCAGTTGAGTCAAATTAAACACAAGCTGCAAATTTGTTTTTCAGTAAATATATTACAGTTGGGAAAATTTCTTTTTCTTACCGCTTGATGATTTTACAAGCAAATATTTGAATTTTCTCTCTTTGTTCTTTATTTGGATGATATTCAACACGTGTAAGTAATAATAATCCATAATTAATAATAATTTGTAGAGTATTTGTAGATTGTTGGAGATGATTAAGAGCAAGTTCAATAATAGCTTCAATGGTTTCAAAATTATTTGGTAAAATTTTAAGTTGAAAACGATTATTATAATCTGATAAATTACATAGAAAAGTTTCAATAATAGGAAGTCGTTCATTAGTAAATCGTTTTTGAATCCATTGAAGAATATTTTTAACTTGTTCATCATTTGTTGAAAAAGCACATTGAAGAAAAAGAATATAATTTTGTTCTCGTTGATGTATACTTGAGCTTGTTTGATTAAATAAAGTTAAAAATTGATCATATATATTTTGTGTCATTAATTGATAACGAATTAATGATAAACGTTGTTTTATAGAAAGAATTTTATTTATTTCATATTGAGATATTAAATGAAGAGAAAGTGATGTAGTTATTTCAGCATATTCTTCGAATAATGTAAGAGTTTTTTCATTTCCTTCTTTTAATAATTTCTCTATAAATAATTCTTTTCCAATACATTCATGAATAACAATATCAAATAACCATTTTCGTTGTTTTCGACTACTATAAAGACCTAAATGTTGTTTGCTATTTTTTAACATATATTCAAGAAGACGAATTGTATGATTTGATGACCATTTGCATGTATCATATAAAGCAATAAATAGACGAACATAATGATCAAGAGAAAATGAACGAGGAAATACAAATCCATCGAGATCGATACCCTCAGCATTCCAAAATGTTTGATATTTAATTGAACCTATAAATATTTATATAAAGAGATGTTTCAGAAGTTCTGCAGCGATTTTAAAACTCATTGTTCTTGCATTTAACAAAATCAAAATCTTGATAACTTTGACAAATTATTGTATCTACCTATTTGTTTTTGTTGAATGGAAGAATGATGACTTGTAAAATCATTTCAAAACTTCTGGAACATTTATTAATATAAGAAAAATAAATAAATAAATAAAATAAAACCTGGTTGATTTGATGCAATAATTGTAATTAATTCAATCATTTCATTTGGCATTTTTTTAAAAAAATATTTTTGCTCTGATGCAATAAAATGAGGTAAAAATCTTTTGTGCTTTTCTAATTGATTAATATATTCAATTGTTAAATGAAATATTGCTTTTATTTCTTTTTTTGCAAGTGATGATAATAATCTATTGTTTTCTTGAAAATAATTTAAAAATTTTTCATTATTGCTTTTGTGTTCATTTAAATCACATTGAATTAAATGAATAACAATCAAAGGTTGATAGTAAATTAATTTTGAACGAAATAAAGATGAAGAATCAATTTGTTCTAAGCGTTTAATTGACCATCGTGATAGAAGATTTAATATTTGATCTTTTGAACAAAATGGTACTAAATAAGCATCAAGATTATATTGATCATGATGATATGATTCAGTTAAATGATATACAAGATTATAAAAAAATGATGAAGATTTTTTTAAACAATCAATTTGATGTAGATTTTCTAATATTTGATTTTTAAGACTTAAAAAGCATTGAAAATAATTTTTTTTTATTATTTACTTATTTTTAATTTAATAAACTTACAATCGACCAATATTTTTATCATTGATTGTTTCAACAATAAATTCATAAATTTGTTTTTCATTTCTTTGAATTTTAAGCCAACCTTTTGCAGCAATAGTTCGTTGTCTTATTGGTAATGAATCTGTTTTGAATATTTCTAATAAATTTTTTTCATTTTTTGTTGATTTTGATAAAAATACTAACATTTGTAAATCATCATAAGATAATGATTGCTTCAAATGTTTTTCTATTTCAGTTTTATCCGATAACGATATAATATATTTGAGACGATCTTTCCATGTACCCTCAGTTTTTAATAATTCATATTTGAAAATTGAGGACATTTTTCGAAATAAAAATTCAGCAATGATTGACAATCAAAAGAGATGGTTTTTATATATGTAGAGAAAAACACCATGATGAAATTATATAAAACGAGAATAATATTGACATAGTCAAGGCTTCATCGTTCTTTGTTCGTAAACAGTAGTCATGAGTAATACATTTTTTGTTCTTTCGCAATCCTTTGAAATTTTTTTTCTTATCAAAAGCTACGTCACATTTTTTTGTTTTTGAACATATTAGCACAAAAAAAATAATGGCAAAAAGAGGATATGGATGAAGAAACAATTCACATTCATATTTACGCCCATATTGCTCGGGTGCAGCATTCCTTTTGCAACGAATCCTACTTCCGTTGACTTGATGCTTACTCTGAGAGTGTTGCAAGACTCTTGTGTACGACAAATTCTAATAGCTGGGTACTCATAAGCGAAAGAAATCGCTTAACTTTAGTAATAAAAGTGTAATCCTCAATTTCAATCATTGAATGCACCAATGAACGGATGTATCACATTTTTTATTTTGCATTGATCTTTGCTGCAAAAGATTATGTTATGTATATTTGTTTTAAAACATGTGCCATCGAATCCTTGGAAAAAATCGAATGAAAAAATTCCGTTCAAGAAAAGAGTTTATTATAACCTGTCACTACATGTATATCGGGTTAATTTATAACTTAGATATTAGAAGTAGGTCTATTTTCGATTGATTTATGTAATTTCTTCAATAGTACGGTTTAATACCTTCTTTACTGAAGTTATTGAATAATTTTCGGTAATTAAAAAAAGAATAAATCACTGATAAGTTCGAATTCTAATTAAGTAAAAAAGTTTATTCTTTCATTCAGACGGATTGATTGACAAAGGTGATGTTCAAGGATAGTAATAATTGTCCATGCGTACGAAGCATATGAAACTAGCATGCAACAGTAGCGTCTTGCAAAACCATATGTGCGAGTTTTTCGCCAATGGCATATGCAGGTGCTTGTGTATGTCCATTGTTTATTAAAGGTAGAATGGATACATCTGCCACTCGTAAACTCTCAACGTTTCGTACACGAAGTTGATTGTCGACCACTCCCATAGGGTCAGTGTCAGGTGCCATTTTACATGTACCACATGGATGAAAACAGGTGCTAGCAACAGCTCGTACATGCTTTTTCCAATCAGCCAGATCCTTTGGATGGGATATGGTTTTCGGCCATGGACCAACAACGATATTTTTTGTTCCTCGGCCTTTCATTAACACTTCGTGTCCGATTCGACAACCTTCAGCAAGTACAGCTACATCGAGATCATTTTCAAGATAGGCATGATCGATGATGGGTTTGCATGTTGGGTCCTTGGACGAGAGTCGTACAGTACCTCTTGCTTGTGGCCCACATAGAAGAACATATAGTCCAATACCTCCTTCGCCTTCTACGGGATTGTGTGGCAGCTCATCTATAAAAGTCGATAGACAATTTTTACACTTAATTTTATTAAACCATTATATTCAGAGAGATCTAAACTACACGGTAAAATCTTGTGAAACATTCATGTTTCATACAGTTAAGAGTAGATATGAAATCTTGACACTTTAATCCATATATCGTTAGGATTTCTAGGTGTCACTTTATTATGATTTGTCTGGCAGTGAAAAGGTCAAAAATACGTAGATGTACATTTACCTTTTCACATTCTTAGTGCTTTATTTAGCTGATTTAAGAATGGATCTATTTTACTCTAAACCTTTTAATGTTATTGAAAGTTCATTTTTTTAGAACATTAAGAGATTCCTCATACGCACACAAAAATTTGAGCTCGATTTTTCTATCTACTTAAAATTGAACAAGAATTTTCTGGAGAATGCCTCAGAATACTATTGTTTTCAATGATTTCTTTTTATATTGTGATCGACTGACCTGCTTGTGGGCAGCTAGGAATATAAACGTACAATTCTGAAGTCCAGAACTCGATATGAGGTTGATTTGGCCATTGCCCAGTCGGATCGTACTCTAATGGTTGAGTCTTTTGTTTCTCGAGCTTTGCAGCTTCCCAAACAGGATCTTGAATGGTCTTGTCGATTCGCTTTAGAGCAAAGGGACCAAATGGCAGTCCTGCCAGGAATCCTGTTTTCGTTTCATTCCATTCTTTGACTGATAATGCAAGAGCGTCTGGATGATAATAGACAAATCGATCAAGCGTAAGATTTGAATCATTTACTTGATAAGATGTAAGAACCTAAATGATAACATGAAGTATCGCATATTTAAACTGAAAAAATCTATACTATCACATGATCTTGAAGATTGCTTCCTACACCTTGCAAGTCAACCTTACAACTGATACCCATTTCAATTAGATGTTCTGCTGGGCCAATACCAGAATACATTAAAACCATTGGAGAATTATAAGCACTAAATAAAAATGATCTTGCAATATAAAGTATAGACGTCACTCTAATCCAAACTGAATTTGACTGCTTGGCACTTCGTGAAAGCTACTAGATTTCTTATCAAATAGTCAAAAGACCGAGAGAGCCACTGTTCATCGATTTTACTGACAAGAGTTCTCGAAACTGATTCACTTTAGTGTCGAATATTTTCTCGGACAAAATTGCTAATCTGAAGCTTACCCAGCACTTAGAATAATTTCCTTTCTTGCTTTGATGATTATCGATTGTCCAGTTGCATCATAATGTGCTTCTACACCGACTGCTTTGTAGTCACGTTTTTCTTTGTTGTTTACATTGTTTTTTTCCAGAATGATTCGGTCGACATAGATACCTGTTCGCACTGTAAGGTTTGTTTTCTCGTAATGAAGAATAAAGTCCGCACTTGTACTTCGAATACCTTTGTAAGCTGTGCGTACAGCATGTCCAACACCTAAACCGTTCTTAAATGAGTTTCAAAGAAAGAAATGAACGTTACAAACCTTCATAGTCACCCCGTACAAACATATCGGGTTTATACTCAAAGCCACTGTCAATAAATGATTCAATAACTTTTTCAGAGATAGGTGCATGAGGATACGGCTCGGTATGCAGTGGTCCACTAGTACCATGAACAGTCAAGTCTGACTGGTGCCATTCAGCTGGATGGAACGTCTCAGATGCTTTGAAATAGGGCAACATGTCTTCCCAACTCCATCCTGGGTTCCCCATGGCTGCGATACGATCATAGTCTGCTTTGGTGCCCCGAATAAGCAATGTACCATTGATTGCACTGCATCCACCAAGAAAACGAGCACGTGGTGCGCTTATAATACGATTATTGCAACCTTTCTGAGCAACAGTATCATAGTTCCAGTCGTGTGACTTCTCTTTACCCAAAAGCCAATTACCAGGTATACGACCATGAATGACTTCTTCATGACTACCACAAAAAATTCTTCGTTCAAGATAAGAAAATTAGAATAGATACAAACAAACCTTGGACCAGCTTCGAGAAGGCATACACTAGAGTTTGTATCTCCTTCTGCCAAACGTCGAGCTGCAACCGCACCGCTCGTACCGCCACCAATTACAATGTAGTCGTAAGTAATAATATCATCCTTTTCCTGAGTCATTCTAGATAATGGACAACAAAAACAGTTTATTGATCTTATGATCACAACTACTGCAAACGTGTCTGTCGAAGAAATCGTTTAGTTTACTTAAAATATAACTTCGAACAAATGCTCATATACATCTTTCAGAAATCGTTCTTTTTTTTGGGAATATGAAGGTAAAATCTGGAGCGGAGACACTACATCTTTCGGGAAAGGCTGCTTCAAGCGTTTGAATCCCAGAGTTTATCTTTGTTGCCAAAGAAATTTATGTAATCAAATTCGAGTTCAATAGAGTGTCAAATAAAGTGAAATCATTCTAAAATATAGTTTTTTAATAGAAGTCAGATATACATTTAGTAGAGACTTTCATTTGTCTGTAAGATCCTAATATATTTGCTTGATTCTACTCTTTCCTCATTTTCTGGTAAACTAATCGTGTCGCTTTAGATGGTTAGTTCATCGGAAATAGAACGTTCATTGAAAGACATGATTTCAACCGAGACTTGGAGTATAGGAATTTATTTGACTATAGACAAAACTGAGCCGAGAGATTAAATTTGGGCTATCACTATGTATTTCTTGCGCGAATTTTTTTCTGCTACTAGGTGCCATCCTTTCTCTGAAAAGAACTCCATATGAAATCAAAATGACAGTACAAATTTTGTGCCAAAAAACATACCGTAACTTAAAATAACGTCGTTTTCTTTCTATTCAGTGTGTAAATACCTTGCGCTCCTACTATCTATATCAATAACAGTTAAGGCTGTTCTTTTTTGTCAGAGATAGTGTTTTTTTTTTGTTTTTGTTTTTGTTTTACAATGTTTGATAAAACAAAAGCAAGAATACTATTACGAGGTAAATGCTGTTATGTCACTACTTTATTTTGAAAAGATAGAGTAACTGCGTGCTCACCTTCCCCAAAAAAAACTAGGAAGCACGTATATATAGTGAAAGAAAAATTGGGCTAGTCAGGAAAGAAGTTGAGACGCTTCTTCGGCTGACTGAAAAATGAACAACAGGAAGAGTTACAAAAAAAGACGTCAGTCAGGAAGGATAGGTCAGACGGGTAGGAACGTATATGTAACAATTGAAAAGAAAAGAAGTGAAACACTATGTAACAGTAAACAAAGGAAAAATGATAAAAGAAGTCCAGAATAACATAGATCACAGGTACCGAAGATAGAAGAGAATATCATACACTAAACGAGTGATCGACCGTGTGATATATGGTAAACCAAATGGCCAATACATAACAAATGCCTCGCTGATTACTCTGCTTCTATGTCTGCATGACCCATACTATTATGAGGTAAATGCCTCGCTGATTACTCTGCTTCTATGTCTGCATGACCCATACTATTTTGCTCGTTCTCGATTGTTCTCTATACGGGTTACTCAACAGTTGGTCGGCGAGAGAGTCAACTCATAGATAACAGCATCCAATAACACATACTAAAAATATATTCAGAATAACATGGTCGTCGATGTATCGCTACGCAATTACTGTGACATTTTCACAAGGTCGTTGTGTCAACAGACTGATAAGATGATACAAAGCGGAATAGTCGATATTTGCCAACGCTCAGACAGTCTTCCATTTGAACGAACATTTGAAAATGAATTCTTGTCCAATACATAAATTCAAATCAGTTCAACTAATTAAATATGAAAGACGATTGTTATCGATATTAATCATAAATTGTGTTGAGAGAGAACGAACAACTATGCATATTTTAGTTCTCTTTTTTCGTCGAGCGAACAGACTATAGAAATAGGCAAACTTTTATTGAGAAAAACGCGACGAACGTGTCTTGGTGACCTACTTAAGAAGTTAGTAATCAAACATAGAAGCTAGGCAAACATATAACTAAAATATTGTGATGGTGATAAACTAATATGTACACATTGTTTTTCTCAAAAGTAATCTTTTTCAATGAATTGAAAATAAAATAAGTGTAATCCTCTAGTCATGGGTCACTAGGAATTCTGTTAAGAATTTTAAAAAAGAGCTGTATGACTAATAGTTCCATGGAAAATTTTTAACAATGTTCCGAAGTCGGTATCATACTATTTATAACTTTTTCAACTTACTCAACAGATTTTTTATAATCAAAATAGACTTGTTTTATTCACTTGTACCTATTGTGTTTGTTATACAACTATTTCTTTTATTCCTCATATTCAAGTAAATTCTACGATCCTATAGTTATTAATTTTATCTCGAGAGCAGTCCTGTTTAAGCGATATATGGGTAAGTGTGATATTTATTGTTAATATACAATCAAATTAAAATAATACATATGAAGGATCAAGCAAATAATATCGTGAATAGTAATCATTTGTGTAAGCTCAACTATTACATTCATGTCAATCAGAAAGTATTTAATTATCTTGACATAGGAAATTTGAATATTTTAGAACAGAATATTTTATTCTGTCAGTCGATTACAGGGGCTACAATATGACAAAAAAAAGGGTATCGTTGTAAGGTGATGCTGAATAGTAGTCAGTTCTTCAGACAAACAAAACTCGATCAATTGATTGTGCAATCACATTTATTAAACATGTCAAACAATGTTAAAGAAACTTGAAAATATAATTGAATAATTTATTTTACACTATGTAGAATATTTACACGATGAAAGTAAGTATTCGCTTGAATAAAAGGTCAAAGAAAAAAAACATTTATAATACAGAAAGTTCTAATATATGTCGAATAGATCTGATTGAATATTTGATTCTGTTGGTGCAATGGCTGAATTTTCGTCATGATCATGTTCAATTTCGTTTCTCATTGTATAAAGAGTTTCATTGGTGAGACTTATTTGTTGTTTTCTTTTAGCTGCTCGTTTAGCAATCCATGATGATTCTACTCCAGATAATTCAAAGTGAAAATCATCATCGATTTGTCGTTGCTCATCAGTAGCATATGCAACTAGAATGAGAATTGACAAATGAACTATTTTTCCACTATACACTCATCAAAACAATCATTTACCTGCATCCTGAAAATATAATAAAAATACAATTAATTTCAAAATAAATTTTATAGAAATATTCAATTTCAAACTCACTTTTATTTGTTCTTGAATATCAGTGTCTTGAAGTAAACTCATATCAATTGATCTTTCTGAAGTCAATTCAGTAAGCCATGAACATGTAAGAATTTCATCGATTGTAATACGATTTGCTGGAATCACTGTGAGCATTCGTTGAATAGTTAATTTTGCTTCTTGTGAAATATTTTGCCATTCGACATCTGGAAATTGATAATTACCTGTCTTGATTCTGTTTATCATACCAGAACTTGAGTATTCTCCAGTTTTTGGAAAGAAAGGTGGATAACCACATAGAAGAATGTACATAATAACACCCATGGACCAAATGTCACAGGCCTGTTTTACAAAAAAAATAAAACAAACAAATAAAAACAAAAATAGAATCATGTGTTAATTCAATAATATATAAGATATTTGTTTTCAAATTTGATTTTCTCTTTTATAGACTATCAAAATAAAATAGAACTAGCGTATTACTTTGTTATATCTTGCATTAGATAGAATTTCTGGAGCAACGTAAAACGGTGTAAATCTAAACAAGAAAATCTAATGAAAATATTTGATATTATTCATTTATTTCTATACAATGGAGTTATCAATGGCAGTGGTTCATTATTTCCTTCAAAGAAAAATTTTAAAAAGTTAGTTTTTTTCCTTTCTTTCACATAAGTAATATTTTACCTTCTTTAGCAAATCCGAAATCTGTAAGTTTGAGAATAGCATCGTCTGTTTCATTTGTCAATAGAAAATTTTCTGCTTTTAAATCACCTATAATCATAAATTTAATAGTTAATCATTATCGTATTTTATTTTTTCATGATAAAACTACATACGATGAGCCTATAAGTAGTGGGAAGAACAACAAAAAATATACAGAACAGAAAGAAATGTTTAATAGTCTTACTATATCCATTGCATGTAAATGATAAACAGCTTGAGCAATCATCCAAATATATTTAGCAGCATCACGTTCTGTAAACAGTTGACTGTTTTGTTTTTCAATACGATTAAATAGTTCTCCACCTTCCATACTAGAATAAAAATTTATTAATAAATATATTTAGATTTATAGATCAATGAAAAATCAACTACACCATTCTGTTACAAGCAATATGCATCGATTGGATCGAAACATATTTTCCTGCAATAAGCCAAAAGAATGAATCAATAATAGAGTGATAGAAGAGAAGAAAGCAAATAGAAGTTCGGTAACAATATTCATACATAGACATCCAATACTTTCACAATGTATGAACAATTTTCGCATGCTTTTTTATGTAAGATAACTTCTCGTCGAGCTCTCATTGAATCTTTCAAAATCTATGGAAATTTCAAATAGAAATCAATTGATATATTTATTGAAAAAAAATTGAAGAGTTATACTTTAAGAGCACATTTTTGTCCTGTTCGAAGATGTTGACATTTGTATATTCTACCATTAACGCCACGACCTAACACCTCTGGTAATATCTCATAATCATCTGTAAAGTCATTCCGACATGTTGAAAATGGAAATGGACCATAATCGTTTGAACTGCTTGATCAATTGAAATAGATTTATTTTTTATATGAAAATCGAACAAACAAAAAATTATACGGATAGAAAGCTGACATTGACTAGTTCTATCTAATCCATCGGATAAATCTTCATAAATGAAACATTATATAAATCTATTTAAAATCCTTTTTTTTATGTTACATCACTATTGAAAAGAATGAAATGTACAGAAAATAGAAGGTTTTAGTCATCATGACTTGAAATGATAATTCTCATTTAATGAAAAATACAACAAACGAATTTTTCGAATCATTCTCGTGATTCTCCACTCAATATCAGAAAAATACTCTGTTGAAAAGAATTAGTGTAATTTTCTTACTTTTGAGTTGTTGTAATTCGATAAGTGCCCATAGTTAGGCGTAGGAATTGTGTAAAAATTAATGATTACGAAGGTTTGGTAAAAAAAACATGAAGAATCGATTATTCTGAATACTAGAAATAAATAGTAAGCTTGGAGTGTATGAGAAAAATTTCGATTTAAATTAGCAAAACTCTCCAACTATTCATGCGATTAGTGCATATAAAACTATCAGAGAGTATGTACAACAATTAGTAAAGAAAAGAATATCCTATTACTTCGAGTCAGAGAATAGAATATTCAATACACGTGTAAAATATGCTGTATTGATAAATTAGAAGCGACAATCGCAATGACAAAATAGAAGAGAACAGAAAAAAAAAACAATATAACTAATAATAGAATACGACGATGGTTTTTTTCCCATTCAGTCAAAAGCAACAGCTTATGTTTTGGTATGGCATACGTGGAAACCCTTTATAGAGTAAACTATATTCGCATTTAGATACATTAAATTTTGCTCATATATATACTTAATATTGTCGCTGCATGTGAGGACATATGAATACTATTGTACAGATCTCAGACGGATACATGTGAGATAATTCCGGAATGACCAAAAAACGAAGCACAAACAATAAACACACATGAACATGCAGGAGTTTTTTTTTCACAAATAATATTCGAACATGCATGTTTCAATTTATAAGACGAACTTCTTCACTAGTCGATCATCTACTTGCATTATATCAGCAACTTCGAAAAATTCATTAATGTTTTAGAGCCACACTAGTGCTGATATATGAGAGCGATTTCATTTTAATGAAAAATGAATGAATATACCTTAAAGAAAAAAGCTATATTCATACGTGGGATAACATGCACATCACAAAATGGCAGAAATTTTCATACCGACGTAGAATCGCTTTGATTACAGTTTTCGTAAATACGATTATGTTACATTGACATGTAGAATTTAGCGAAATTCTAGTCATCTTGTATAAATACGTAAGCATGTTGCATGCAATTATTTGCAACGATAAGACTCATGCATAGTCTCGCATGTTTTGCTTGAAAACTTGAAGAACTGTATTGCCCTACATACATTTGCAAAATGCACGTCTATATATGTGCTATTCTCTTTTATTTATGCGCAACGATTTCTCATATTTGAAATAGCTTGCATCTTCATGAATAAGATAATATGTCTTGAAAAGTATTTTGCAACTAAATGCGAGTTTCTGAAAATTTCCCACAAAGACATGTGTTTTTTCTGCTTTCGGCTTCTACGGAGAAGTGAGCACTATGCAAAAGTTTAATGTACTTGCCCGAATTATTAGGACATCATACAATAATTGTTGATATTCACCCTATTAAGTGCAAATAAGATAATAATTTAGTATAGAAAATGTGACTGTCGCACTTATGAGTAAAAAAATAACCAAAAGGGTGTGGGTGTGAGACACAGTGGATGAAAAAAAAGATGCGAAGCAATGCTTATAATTATTGTAGCTAATAACTTGATGGTTTGTGTAGTTATTCTTAAAACTTGATGTTAAGCCTTTATGGCAAAAAAAGAGATAAATAAGCGTTATATGTACTAAATTAAAAAACCCAGTTTTTTTAATTTGAAAATAAGTAACGCTTATTTTATGCAATACAGTTTCGTTATGAAAATTTTTGAGCATACTAAAAAGATAGAACTTTTGAAGTTCTAAAAAATCGATAATACACTTTTTCGAATTTGTCTAGATACACTTCGATGCGAAAACACGTCAATACAGGAGAGCTGTGTTTATTTATATATGATTTTGTCGAGAATTAAACTTTGACTCTTTTGAAAAAAATGTGGAGACTCTCATTCGTTGTGAAGCACCAGTTAGTTCATTCTGAACGTTTAAGCTTTTGCACACAGCAGTGTTTTCAATATATGTATCTCACAACAGGAACAAGAAAAAACTGAAACTTTCACCATGCACTAATTACACTGAAAGCGTTATTTGTGCAAGATTTTAAATTGAATCTCGAAAGTCAACTCTCAACGTGACCTGCAACGAACTACAGAGTTTTGTTGAACAATGCAGTGAAAATTCTATATCGTAAAAAAAGAATGCCTGAAAAAATAAACCATGCTAGACTTGTTCAACGCTGATCAACCCTCATTCAATGAGCACAGTCTTGATCTACAAATGATTCAACACCTGGAGACGCACAATAGACACAAAAAGTGTTTTAGGAGCAGCTCTTTCAATGGTTGCAACTATCAAATTAATATTTCGTTTACATATAGTCGGCACTCAGCATTAATTATCGGTGCTTAGCTAACCTCAGTTACTAGAAACAGTTCTGAAAAATGAATTTTTCATCTTTTAAAAATTGCTAATTGGGATAAGAAGTACTGGTAGGTAAATTATAACGTTTTTAATAATAATAAGACGACATTTGTTTTTGATATTGTTGCTGTAGTTATTAACTATGAATTATTGCAGATTTTATCATGGTCTATTTATCATTCAAGAGTCTCAATAAAGTTATTATTAATAGATTGTGTCCAACTATTATGTTCTTGTGAAAGAAAATTGACGATAGCTGCATACACATATGTGTCAGAACTTCGCATGGGATGGGACAATCCCATCCCATCGGTTCCATGAGATGCAATTCTTTTGAAAAATGTTCCATGTGATGAAATGGGACAGAAAATTTTCACACACTAATTCCAAGCCCATGGGCAAACTTCTTGTGCAGAATTTTATTAAGAACAACATAGTTGTTTCGAAATAGATGTCTTTCTTGGCCATTCGAGCGAAATAAGTGAGAAATAATTTGTTTCTCTATTCTATAATTGGTTATGCACTATAACCATTAGGATTAGATAGAACAAATAATAAAGAATCTACATATAATTGTAATAGTAATAAATAATTTGATTTTACTTTTAGTTACAATCAATAGTATACCTTCAAATACTTCGTCATGTGTAGTTCAATGTCATTTGATCGATATGATTCCATGAGCTTGAGCACTGCTTCGTCTTCTTCTATCATTGCTTTACCTTCAAGTTTTAATATGGATTCTTCATCAGGTATTCATGAATACACCACTAAAATGATCTACTTATTAGAAAAGTTTCATCAAACTATAAACTCATTAAAAATACAAAAAATAAGTTATCATTGGTTTGCTGGCAGATTTTTGGTTTTCCAGTCAAGAAATCTCATAAAAAAGAAGACTTTGAATCGATTCAAGGCTTTCTCAGTTGTAGGCATTTACATCAAGTTCTATAGATTACAAACTGTAGAAAATTTGCTAATCGAACTACGTATAATCAATAGAACAACCGAGGTTTTTATATAAGGAGGCTAAACAAAAAAATACACAACATTCTACAATTATGTGTTTTTCCATATTAAAGGTCGCTTATGTTTTCCTTGACAGACCTTAATCACATACAACATTGAAGCTCAATAACAGTTTTAGTTTGATAAACGCTTATATCCCAGGAAGAAGTGAAACGCTGAAAATGCCGCTTAAACTGTCATAATCACCCGTTCTGTTAGGAAACGGTGATAAACGGCAAGAAAAAAACGTGATCATCACTTTTCTTGCCGTTTTTACGTCTAGTTAGCGTTTCCAAGCGTTATTCACATTAAATAATCTCCGAAACGGTTCTATAAGTCATTTTTTTCTTCGTAAAAGATAGTAAGAAATGTTTATAATCATATTTTCCAACGAAAACAGCTGTAAATGCTCAAAGTAGATTAATCTTTTTTTTTGGGACTGGCTCCCATAATTATTTATATTCTCGTGAATTTGTGTTTTTTATTGTTTCACAGTACGCGTGAAAGACATTTAGTCCGTTTGGAGCTTTCATTTATCTTTTGATCTGCTGAGTTAATTCAAAAAAGTATTCGCTGTAGATTTAATTATGTGAAAAAGAGTTCCTTTGTTTAAAGTAAAAATCCGCATAACATTGACATCATATAAATCAATATCATGTGTTGGTGCAAACATTAGAATATCGAAAAAATACAGGTTGATTTTTTGTTGATTTAAAGTCTCAATTTTTACATTAAAATCCTAAGTTTTTGATTATGTTCAAAGCTCGAAACGTACGATAAATTATAAGTTCCTAATATTCTCAAATATAAAATTGATGCATTAGAGTTTTCAT